AGATTCACAAAGACAAGTTGGATTGCATTGTGAAACTTTTATACTTGCATACACGAATCATAGAAGCCCATAACATGATGGCATTTTCTACTGTAACTTGCCTATGAGACTTGTATCAAAACAAAAAATCACCAGTGCATGAATCATGACAGATAGGCTTAAAATTCACGTGCTTTCTTATATTCAAAACCTTTAACCTTTTCCTAATGGTTGTTATGTTGGGTGCAAGTATAGTTATATTTTGTACAACTAAACCTACAGATACTAATTCAAGATGTGTAACTAGAGGTGTCACATTTTCTCTATATTATATAAGTTCATATTTCATTTGATAATACATCAGTTACTACAAACGTAAAATGTATATACTTGAATGGAAGTCAAGTATATAGATAATAATATAAATATTAGTAATAATTTTTGTTAGAATGAATTTAAAAAAAATATCTGATTCTAAAAATCAAACAATATTTTTAAAGTTTCTGGAGCTCTGGTCCTTGCAGTATGATACTTCTGTGTATGATTGATCATCATTTATTGAAGCATTTCAAACAGATATTAGCACAATTCAAAAATTAATACTTCATATTTTATCAATGTAAAAGACATCTTAATTTTTGCCTTCTCTAACTTTATTATTGATGATGCATTTTTGATGGCAGGAAAACTTTCACATTTCATCCTTCCAACAAATAGAGAATATATGTTTATTCAGGTATATTCTAGAATTTTTTACAAAAAATTTCATGCAGGTATTGTGTGTGTAGTTAGTGACATCTCTATAAATTGCATTTACAAAGCTTGTAAGCTTCTTTATTTTTCTAACTTAGACAAAGGTTGCATACCACAAGGAATGTTCTGTAGGAGTTATGTTTGTCTGGCCCTGCTTCTTTGTCATGTTGTCCTGGAATGGGGTCATATTCATTTTGAGTAGTGGTATGGAGACATATACAAGTCAGTATGAGTTAGATGTTTATGTCACTTGAATATTTATACTGGAATGATTATTGACATAGCTAATCAAGGAATTTTCAGATACTATAGTAGGACTTTGGTCTGATTTAACAGTGTGGTATCTTCATTATCTGTAATTGTACATCTGTCTTGTGTGGATGGTTTTGTTTTCAAGTTTCTCTTCTGCCCTGCTGTTCATTGAAGTTTAACTACAAATATAGAAGCCATCTATTACAAGCAGAAGACCTCAGTTGAGTTCAAATTTGCACTGTATACGTGGATAAAGATTCTGTTGATTTATTCACTAATGTTTCTTTGGTTTTTTTTTCATTTTTATCCATGTTGATTTTATTCTCTGTGTTGGATATACAAGGTTGTTGGGTTTAAAAGTTATTTTTTAGAGTTAATATTTAATGATTATTTAGTTTTCACAGCAGGAGTATTAAAAGTTAATTATTTTAAAAGTGATAGTTATGACAAGTTTTGTTACATAACTGTGTATTAGTTGTACATTGTGTATGCAGTTTAATTGTTGTACTAGGCTTTTGTAATATTGTTGGCATCATCTTACTCGAAGCTTCTAAGTATTTCTTGTTATGTTTAATATTGTTTTTACTAGAGGGCTAGATATTTCTAGATTTTTCTGTTGTGTATTATAAATAAATGCAGATAAAAATTAAAAAAAAACAATTGTTAGTGAAAATGAAAATAAAGGTGAAGTTAGAATGTATGATTGTCAGTTTAGCCATAACGGGCAATTTCTAAAGTGAGTCTCACAGTTTGTATTGTAACAACAGAGATAGAGAAGAATAACTTGTCTTGTCAAAGGATGTTCTAAAGTAATTGAACTTGCCTATGTGGACTTTGACGAAAAGGAGACAATTATTTAAAGCTCTGGATACAACTGTGGTAACCCATGGGGTAACATAAGTGAATATATCACTGATTGTATTGTGATAACAGGAATAGAGAAGAATAATTTGTTTTGTCAATTGGGTTCTAAAATAATTGAACCAGCCTGTGTGAACTTTTGACGTAAAAGAGAAGTATTTAAATCTCTGGATACAACTGTAGTAACCCACTGGGTAACATAAGTGAATTTATCAATGATTGTATTGTGATAACATAAGAAAGAAGAAATAAGTTGTCTTGTCAATTGTGTTCTAAAGTAGTTGAACCAGCCTGTGTGGACTTTGGACAAAAAAAAAAAGAAAGAGAATTATTTAAATCTGTAGATTCAACTGTGATAAGCAATAGTGTAAGACATTTTTGTACACACGTTTGACTTGTTTTAAATATATATATATCATTATTATTCTAAAACAAATGGATTTTGTATTCTCCATTTATTGTTGAAATTTATTCACAACAATTCACAGATACTGTGAAGAATCTTGGCCCCCATTAAACTGACACTCTGGAAGATATTTCTGGAACATGCCGTATCAAGGTTACTTCTAACTGTTGGAAATCAGTGTACCTGAATACACACAATATTTTTTTTTTTATTGCATTAGTCCATACCAAAACTAACTTAACTTAGTGGAATTTATAAAATTGTTTTGGACAACAATAATTCTGAAACAAATGCAAAATTAATTATACCACTAAATATTTATGATAAAATAAAAATAAATTCAAATTACAGAAAAATGTACAAGCTAAAGAACATACCATGATAATTTATATTATAAATTTTACTTGAAATTCAAGAAATTTCATGATAAACCTTTTACCAATGTATGCATTAGAAGATCATCTTTATTATCAATGTTTATATTTTTATAACCTTTACAATTTTTATCAGTTTGTAGTGTACTTCATCATTAGTCAGCAGCTGAATTTTAAAGAAACAGAAATAGTGTATATAATTCCATAAACAGCAAATTAAACCTATAAATATTCAAGTGAATAAACTTTTGTATGGGATTTTTAAACCATGAATAGCACCACATGGCATCTTACTAACATGTTTATCATAAATAATAATCATCCTTTATACTAATATCAATAACAGTTGATAACTTTGTTTGATGTGGTACTTTTCAATTTTACCTTAAATTACGTATTATTTTATTAGAAAATAATTGGTTGAAAAACGTAGAATTTTCCCTGTAAAATGTCTGTTTCAGACATTTTTTAAAACTAATAACCACATCAAAAATATTATGTAGAGATCTAGAATTTCTTAAGAGAAACCATTGAAGTGAACATTTTTCTAATATTTTGACACAGATAAAGGTTTAAAAATACAGTTCTTAATTAGCCTTGTTTTTAATATGGTTGCATAATAGACTTTGTGTTGAAATAGTGAGGCATTTTACTGCTACTTGAATAACTGCATTCCTTAATATGCTGTACTTATTCACCAGAACAACCATACATAAATTACAAAGATTCTTATTAAGATTTTAATATGACTGAAACTAAACCTTTCTTTTTTAAAGGTATCGCTATGGTAAGAAATGTACCGTTTTTTTAATAAATATGGTTGAATATGGTATATTAAAATGAATTACAATGTGCAAATCAGTGGTAGAACAGATGTAATAGAACTACATTTTGACATTTTTTAGCTTTTCAGAGGTAATGTGATGTCACTAAAATTTGTCACTTTTGGAAAGGGTATGTAACAGCCTTTTCTGATGCAAATTATTAATACACTTTCATCACTAAAATGTGTTCAGATCAGGGATTTAGACTTTCCAAGATGAGGATATTTATTGTACTTATAGTATTGGAAAACAAAGGCATATAGATCAATATTGGGCACCAGAACCACTCAAAAAGACTTGAAACAAATCTTATCATCGTTTGGTAAGCAGAATGCAGTGTTTTGTAAAAGGTGAGGATCCACAAACACAAAGTCAATGAAAAAAAGCCCTCCATGTGTTTCAAATAACAGTGTGTAGCATAACCAAGAAGGCTATTCATCTGAAAATAAAGCTAGTAAAGTATGGGCTCACTAAGATAAGGCTTCCAGTCATAACTCCTGTTCAAACATCATATACCTTGAGGAGCTGGAGAATGAAATGGGTATTTATGATATATCACACAAAAAATACTGGTCAAATCACTGGATGCAGCTCTTATGGATTTCTGTGTGATAGAACTGTTGAAATGGATGCTGGAAAATCATCATCCTCATACAGTAGATGCACTGTGGAAAACATGTAGGAAGGAGTTGTGTGCTTTGGACATGAACGTCTTATGACAGAACCTTTTGTAATGTAAACTCTGCTGCAGGGCTATTGTCAAGATGTATAGGTTTAAAAGTATGACTAGATATGGTGACTTGAACTGTAACAACATGGTGAGGCTCCAAAATTATTTTAATATAAAGTACTCAACCTCTGTAAAATGCATACTTATGTGATTTGCATGGGTATGTAGTAGGTAGGAAAGAAGACTTACTGTAGTGAGTAAAAAAGTATTTGTGTGAAAGAAATTGCTAGTGACATATTGGAATTGACTGTTATCACTGTAGGGAAGCAACTATGCTTGAAAATTTCTTGTAAGTCTATATATATATATATATGTGTGTGTGTGTGTGTGTGTGAAAATGTTATTACAATAGTTAAGTAAATATTAACATCAAAAGGAAGGACTGTGTTAAAAACAGCAAGACCAAACATGAAAAAATATCTTAATCATCTAAACAAACCTTAACAACTACAAAAAAAAAGACTGCATATATTAAAAAGATCACCAGAGCACAGGCTATAATGTGGGATGTAAGATGTGCTCTCGGTTTTGGAGGTGACTTGCACAAATAGGAGCCACATAGGGGTGGGGAAACACTGTTTATATATACATACATAAATATATATATATTAATTTTGTGTGAAGCTTATTTATTTTAAGTGGCTATTCAAGAACTATTTTGCTCATCCAATCAAATAAATTAGTAAAAGTAGGAACAATATTAAGATTAATTTAGAATAAAAATGTGTCAAGATAATACTTAAGTGTAAAAAATTACATTATTATTATGTATATAAAGAAGATTTCCTTACAAGAATTTTTAAAATTGTGTCATTAATTGTTAATTGAAGGCTGTGTATCTTTCAGGGTCCTACTGGACAACCTGGACCTGAAGGTCAACATGGAGCTCCTGGAAACCAAGGAGACAGAGGTCCACCAGGATCTCCTGGACCACAAGGCTTCCCTGGTCCAGTGGTAAGTAGTTGATAAAAATGATCTTTTATAACAGTGGCATGGTAAAAAAAAAGGCAGTTTTAAACTAATCAAACGTTTAGCAGGTACATGTTTATTTCAAAAATATAATATCAATGTTTAAAGTATATCTAAATATAAACCTTATGCATGTAAGATATTTTTATACATGTCTGAGATATGCCATTACCAATTTTTTAATATTTTGTTAATAAATATTATCTTTTTCTGATAATTTTTTACTAATGAGGCAGGCTGCTTTATATTTTTCTGTTTATGATATCTGTACTAAAAAAAGACAAAGTTGTTTCTTTCTGATTTAAAGCTGACTGTATGTCATAAGCATATGTAGTATCTTGTTTTATAACTAAGAGGTATTTTTATATGTACAATTGATTGCAGTTCATAATTCTTGATGGTTCATGAACATATTATTAAAATTATATGTAATCTTATATCTTCAATTTGTAAATATACTTTAACATAAAATAAGTGTTAATGTTATTTCTAATAATTGAATGCGAGTCACCTTGTGAGTTAATGTTATTAGTAGCTGTCTAATTCAAAACATTTTTCATATCATATAGAAGTATTTTAGAGATAGATCTTTTATTTTATTTATCACATAGTGTTCTATTCTAGTCTGATTTAATTAGCTGTTGTAAAATTGAAATTTAGTTGTGTATGTTCTGTTACAGGGTGTGCCAGGTGCTCCTGGAAGGAAAGGTGACACTGGTAATGTGGGGCAAAAGGTTTGTAGCTTATTACAACTTAATCTTTCTGTTAAATTAGTTGACAATGGTATTAAAAATTAAAGTAACAGCTAGGCACAAAGCTAAGAAAGGTATTGTTCATTGAAGGCATTATGGAATATGTTTTGAAGTGATTCCTTGTAGTTTTCAGCATTTTAGGAAATTACATCTGTTACATAGGTAAGTGCTAAGACCTGAAGAATGGGTGTTATTGAATATGTACTTAATTCTTTAATCACTTTAGTGGGCTTGCACCCTTACCTTTAAACCATTATCATCATCATTAACATAGAATACTTCTGTTTTATTTCTTAATACTTTTTGACATCTTGTATTTATATTGAGTATAATATAATAATACTTTATTGCACTGTCCATTATCTGTAATTAGCTATGCTTGAAAGCTTTAATAAAAAAATGTCATCACATTCTTAGGGTGAACAAGGAAATACAGGATTGTCTGGTTTACCTGGAGAAAAGGGTCCTCAGGTAAGATTCCTGAAAGGTTTCATTATTTTTATTCTGCTTACATTACAAAAATAAGATTCAAAGGTTATTTGTTGAACATTTTCATGAAGATTCACTAAAATAATATTGTGCTATTCCCTAATTTTCCAAAGTGTACCAGAATTCCAATAAGCCAGATAGAATTATGCATGCAGACATATGAATAAGTAACAAATGTTTTACGTAAATAAGATTGTAGAGTATTCATATATTTTGTCTGATGTTATAATCTAGTTAATTATTTACTACCAAATCCAACAAACGTACTCTTAAGATATGACAAAGTATTAAGATTTACTTTTAACGTTAAATTAAAAACATTTTAGCAACAAAACGACACTTTGCATGAACAGTCGTGACAGAAAAGACATTATTCAGTACTTACAAAAACATTACTAATATAAAAACACAACATAAATACACTATAAAGATATAGAAATCTATTCAATATTAACCCTGTGTGCATGGATGAGGGTCAAAGTGTGTGCGCCACAGTCTTTTATTGAATGCCATTCAATATGATATTATGTATATGTCAGAGATATGAACTGTTCATTTTACCTTATATTGATGATTTACTGACAGTTCATGATAGAGTAGAGTATATACCATACAAAGTATACAGGGATACTGAAAAAAACTGTTTTTGGAGGTCCTAGATGTTATGAAAATGCAATATTGAAACTGTTAGATATAAAAGACTTAAGTTTAATGTGAGCTTTATGATTTAGGTAGTTTATGTAGCGTGGGTGTCATATTTAATTATTTTTAGATGCGATATTTTATTGTTTGTTTGCGAATCATATGTTGTGTGGTTCAGTTATTATGAATTAGCGATTGTTTACAATAATGACATTATTGCATCATATTGCTAGGACTTTCTGAGTTTCTCTTTTGTTTAATTGAGTGTTATTGCATCAGAATATCTAGTATTGCATGGAATGTTCTAGACCTCTATTGGGGGTAAAATACAACTCGAAAAATCATTTTTTAGTTCTAGTTCTAGACTGCGTGATCATGAGTTTAACAATAAAGATTGTTTAGGGATGATATTTAAAGTGAAGTTATCACAGATTGTATTGTAGTGATATAGTAGAGAAGAATAATTCATTTTGTCAATTGTGTTCTAAAGTAACTGAACCAGCCTGTGTGGACTTTGATGAAAAAGATAAAATTGTTTAAAGCAGTGGATACAACTGTGGTAACCAACAGTGTAACAGATATTTGTATATACATTTTATTTGTTTTATTATATTATTTTTAAAACAAGCGGTTTGTGTTGCTGTTTGTTTATAGTTGAAATTTTCGCCAACAAGTTGCAGAAACCTACTGTAAAGAATTCGGCCCATACAGAACCTGACATAAACTGTACAGTGGACTAAAGTATATTATTCTTCACATGAACACTACATTGCACTCTGAGTTTTCAGAGTCTGAGTCAGACTGATATCAGCAATTTACAAATACATCTTCAGTACAAACATTTGATTTTTGTGGACAGTATTCTTGCACATTTTACTTAAAGCTTGCTGCATTTCATATAGATTCACTTAGTAAATTCTGAATTACAGTCAATGTTCTTTCTCCAATACAAAGTCAGTCCAAATTCACCTAAAGTGGCAGTATTGGCTCTCCTGGTGGTATCTTAGAAGCAAAAAGCAAACTTACTATAAAACAACTGCTGTGCTTTCTAATTGTAACAGTTCGGGAACTATTCAAACAACATCTACATTTTTACAACTCGTGACCAAAAGTAGTGTGAAAAAGTACCAGACTCTAGCCCCAGATTTGAGAACCATGCCAACATATAAAGGACAGGTTAACGGTTTTTCAGTATTTTATTCATTCAGGGTCACAACCTTATATTATTCAAATACCAACCCAAGAGATAAGAACAGGAAGGTTACACAGTAGGCACTTTACTTTGCATTATACAGTCTTTACTGTTTCTTGAATATTTACCTTGAATCAAGTAATAACCATGCAACTTTCCTACAGGTTTTAGCAAAGTCAATAGAAGGTTAAGAAAATACATATAATGAAACTAATAATGATTTATAAGCTAAAATCATCAGTACCTTTTAAGTTTCTTTACTAACCCACCTCTCCTTATTGTCAAAGTAACCAGAAGTTAACTTCACACTAAGATAAGCAGTTATACACCTTGGGGATCACAATAATCTTAAACAATATCATTAGTGTTAATCAATACATAGATACATAAAGGTAGAAATCTCTAAAACTCAGCAGAATAATGCTGACCTTTTCAAGATTAAGGTGAAAGAAAGATAATCTGAAGTTACTTTTATATTATCATTATCTTCAGATCACAGCAAGCTATGTATACAGGTCAGGACTTAAAATTAACCCAGTGATGAATATGGCTAGTGTAATGTGCCATTCTTACTTATAATAATTAGATTGTGTTGATTAATCAGTTGGGTTCTCTTGCTGTTTCTGGAATTAAACATGGTACCCTTTCAGCTGTGGGGATGTTATAATATGACAGTCAATCCCACTATTCATTGGTTGCTGCTGATTGGTTACCTTCCCTCTGGTCGGTAGTTTTATGGACAGCAGCAGGTAACCTTAGTACCTATGCCATAAAACAAAACAAACAAACCCTTGATGTTGATAATTTTTATGGCCATAATTCCAACAATATTTTCAAAGGTTCAGACAGTTTAGTATATTTAGATTCGTCCTAAATCCATACCACTTGCTAATAATTCAAAGTAATTATTATTCTAGAAAATATATATAGAAATATGTTCTAAAAATAAAAAATAATAAAATGAATATTTCTTGATTCAGCATTTTTAATCAGTATACTAAAAAATTACAAAATATTTAAAGATAACAGAGTAAAACATGTTTTATTTTCTTATGGAAATTGGTATGGTTAAAAAAAATCTAATCAGGTACTACATTCCATTAACTTTTAAGCATAGGTCATTTATAATGACTATAGCCTTAGAAATTGCAATGGTGCAACAGAAAGTGATAAAAGTTCATTCTTAATTTTGTGTTCGTGATGCTGCTGTTTCATGTTGAGAAGCATATTTTATTTTGGTAGGATATCAGTGAGTTTTGTTGAATTTTACATATTTCTCATAAGTTATACAAGTTTTACCCTCTTTATGTATTCCAGACTTCTTTGTAGTAGCTTATTATGGTTGGTGTCACAAGACTGACATTATACTAACATAAGTATTTTTAACAGGATAAATGTTTTGAATCTACATTATGCAAACACAGACAACTATATCTGACTTATTATAAGGTTATTCTTTTGTTAAAGACTCATGTGATAGTCTTCATTCTCTGATTTTTTCAGAATTGAATATTTTGCAAGTTTTTGTAGAAACAGATATCTGTACTAAGTTTTTAGCATCTGTGTAATTATTTGTGGTAGGGTTATTTATTATTTTTTGCTTTTTACTATGTATTTTAGTCATACTTTAATATAGAATTTTTAATCATAGCTTTGAGCTAGGAATGTTAAAGTATAAGCTCCATGTTTGTAGTAAGCTATCTTACCAACTATTTAGACATTAAAGACAGTTATTGAATTATAGGGAAGTCCTGGAATTCCTGGACCTAAAGGCCCAAGAGGAGAAGAAGGAAAGAAGGTAAACAAACGATTTTTAGTTTTTTTATTTGCTCATTGAGTTATATAACAACTGAAAGTTTTTCTTCAAAGATCTTATGCCAAATCATGCTCCCACATAAATATTTTGGAAATTTTGATAGTGCAAATGAATATCTGTTTATACGAACCTTTTGCTGTGAGGTAGATTTTTACTTATGTTACAAGTATACAAATTAAGATTTAATAATCTCAGTTTCTGAAATCAGTACTGTTTTGAGAGAAAAAAGAATCATTACTTTGTAAAAGCTATTTTGTTATATAGCTTTACAATAGTGATTAAGTTAATGTGTTCTGTTTCACAAGGACATGTTTTTGAGCTCTGACTTTATTCAAAATACTACACTTACCTGAACACATACAGAGAGTTCAATATGTTATATTAAAATGATTGTGAATATGCAAATCAGCAAGTCATAGGACAATCACAGCTGACATAGAGTCATGGGGAAACAGAATGTATCATAAATACATTTTGTAGGTAATGTGACTATTGCTTTTGTGAAGGTTTAAGTAACAGCCCTTTTCTGGGTGGTCCTAGTTTCTGGTACAAAATATTGATACACTCATTTCATGAAGATGAACTTACATTGGAGATTTAAAATTTCCAAGATGAGTATATATTTTGTACTTAACAACATTGAAAAGAAAAAGAAGTATGGATCAACTTTAGGAACCAGGACTATCTAGAAAGAGATGTATAATAATACAGAAGTTAAGTGTGTTATATTAAGATGATTTTTGTAATCTCGCCACATCATTACAGCCAATGTTGTCACGTCTGGTGATGCTTTATATGATGACTATGAATCTTGAAAATACCCCTGCAGCATATTTTCTATTGCAAAAGGTTCTGACATAAGGCTGTTGTGTTCAAAGCACATCAATACTCTCTGTTTGCTCTCCATAAGTCCTCTAGTGATGACAAATTCCAGCACCAATTTCAATAATGTGATAACACAGAAATCCACAGGTGCCGTGATGGCAAGTTTAACTATATGTCTTCATATGGAACAGATGAATACCCATTTCATTCTCTAGTTGCTTGAGGTACGTGATAGTTCAATGGACATGTCATGAAAGCAACTTATGTACACATGATCATGTGTTACTTTTCCAGATGGAGATCCTTCTTGACTATGTTCTGTACTGCTAACTGAGACAAGTGAACATCTTTTACCACTGGCCCTTTGTGTTTGTGGATTCTCACCTATTACAAAATGCCACACTTTGTTTAACGTGTCTTAGGCACAACTTGTCGCTACACTTCAGTCAACAGGTATTAATAGATAGCCAATATTTTTCTGCTATAAAGAATATGAATGAATACAATACAAAATTTATACCTTAATATTGTTATGAATTAAGTATTTGAAATTATTTCTAATAACATTCTGCCACACACACACATTACTAATAGCATAATGATTTGCTTATATTTAGCTTCACGTGTTGTTTATTGTTATTAAACTTTTAGTGAAAGATAAGTTTTCAGAAACATATTTTAACTCAAATTTTTCGTTTAGGGAGACACAGGTTTTCCTGGTGCTCCTGGCAGACCTGGAAACCCTGGACTTGAAGTAAGTAAGGATTTTACTTTTCTTATAAATTACATGTTACTACATAGGGTTTAAATAGTAATACTTACAATAAATACTTGTTAATATGAGATATAACTAAAATATATTAGAGTACTTGGGTTTTCAAATCTAAAGTGATATGTTGGTTTTTATTTAAACATTAAGCTGTTAAAACATAAAAATGCATACAATTTTAGCTCAATACTAGATGTAAAAAGACATTTTGATTAGAAGCTATCAAGACTTAAAATGGTTCAGAAAGATGACTTTTATAGTAATCCATCACTTTCAACAGGGAAAACCAGGCAATCCAGGACCTGCTGGAATACCAGGCATATCGGGCATTAAGGTATGTGATAACCCAAAGAGAATATTAGAAACACAGCAACAAATTATTGGTGAGATGTTACCAAAAACATGGAATGTTTTCCTTTTTATTTCCTGCTTTTATATGGTAAAGAACAAACCATTTGGTATTGGATTGTCAGGAACATGTAGCCAAAATAATGAAGAATATTTGAATTTATTCATATCATATACATTTGAGATGTAACAAGTATATAAAATTATATTTATTGAAACTAAAGCATGTAATTTTAAATTGTTCATGGATTAATGCTAATTTATTGTTCAACATTTACCTTTTGATCATACTTTTATGGATTTCCACTTGTTGATAATTGCCTGTTAATATAAAGAATGTAACTTATTTATCTACTTTACATTTGTGTTTTGTTGGCTTTTATATGATTTATTAGTTACATGACTGTTACTAGCTATGAGGATTCCAAGGCTGTGTCATCTTTTACTTAAATGGCTTCCCTCATTCAATCACACTCACACACACATATGTATGCGTATATAAATAGAAGTTATAGCTTAAAATCTAAATTTGACTTTGGTAAAATATTGGCTCTTGTTTTGATTCTAATTGTTTCTGTTTTAGGGAGCACAAGGAGACACAGGTAGAGCTGGAGTTCCTGGTCCTTCAGGTGAACCAGGTCTTCCAGGATTTCCAGGACCTAAAGGTGAAGCTGGATCAGAAGGGCCATCAGTAAGTAAGACAAACAGGAAGTCAAATGTATTTTGTGTTCTTTCATCATTACCTCCATTCCAAACCTTAATAAGTTTAATAATCTAACTTCATTGGTATTAGTCCAGCAGTTCTGTTGATTTTTTTAAGTAATTAATTTCATTATAACTTTATAATTGTTATTTAACATAGCCATTACATAAGTAGTAAAGCATTAACAAGCTACTACTGAAAATATAACCTGAAATGGTCACAATGTGTACATGCATTTTCATTTACGATAATAAAAGTTGTGGTTTATTTTTAGAAAATTGACCTCAGTTAATGCCTTGAAGTCATCAATTGATACCCCTTCCCCCCAAAGGGGTTAAGATGTTATGTTTTCCAAAATTTAATTGTTGTTTTAAGGCTGTAATTAATGTCAGTACAAGAAATTTTAAAACGTCTGTTATTTTTCTCATGCTTGTAAGCTAACTCTAGGAATATGAATTAGTTGTTCATGAATAGCTTAAGAAAAGGTGGGATACAGAAGTCAAATAGCAATAAATGATTTAGAAGGAAGGAATTAGTTGTTCTTAGAGAATACAAGAGAAACTGAAATACAGAAGCCAGAAATGGTTTAGAAAGAACATGTAATGAATCTGAGCAACTGCTTATTATGTCTTCAGCCATTTTGTTTCTAGTTATTAATTTTTGTTTCTTTTTTTTTGTTTTTGTCTGACAATTAGGGACCAGCTGGACCTCCGGGTCCTCTTGGACCTTCTGGAGAAAGAGGACTTCCTGGACTTCCAGGTTTACAAGGACCTCGAGGTCTTCCAGGTCGACCAGGTGCACAGGTTGGTACATAACATAGGAAATAGACTTGAATCATTCATAGTACTGGGTATCAGTCAACATTACCAAATAAATATTTTTAGAAAATGGATATTTTCTTCTATAGGTTCCAAATTAATCACCAGACTCACAAATCTTTAATTACTGCTCATCCTCAGCTCCCCTAACTATACTGATGTCATCAGTTTTAATATTAAGCAACATCATATTGTGCCAGGAAGTAAGTCAAAACTGGATGAAATCTCACACTTTGTTGGATTGTGTCTTTAGTTGGTGGTGAATCATATATATATATGCATTCTTAATGCAGCAAGGACACATAACAAATGTTCAATTCTTCATAAGAATAACATCCTGAAATCATTCTGAAAACTTGTATTTGAATCCCCATCAAATTTCATTTTGAATAAACAAGCAACAATGAAGAGCTTTATCATTAATAATCTGAAATTGACCCAGCAGTATTTGATTTTTCTCCTCAGATTGTTAGCTCATTCCTATTTTTATCCTTGAATATCACTAATCGCTTGTACACGATTGACCTCTGTCCAGTATCTCCTATCATCTGTCGTAGACTGGTATTAGATATAAGACTTTTATGACTTTAATATTACGCATGTGCTACTAATATCAGGATTATGATTTACGTTTTCCTTCATTCTGTACAGTACCGAGTTCCTGAATTTTTAGATATCTGAACATCATTTGTGGTGAAGAGTTCTTTGATTTTTCTACCACTGTTCCTAACTGTTCACTAAGTTTAAACTTTTTGAAAATAATTATTTATTGTAAAATATACTCAGTGATCTGAATACCTTCATTGTTACTTTCTATGATTATTTTATAGTTACTTTGGTCAATTATTCATTAATATTGGCTTCAATGCATATAAGATGTTGCATGTTAAATTATTATTCATTTAAATAAACTATTACTTTTACCTAGCCTTTGACTTCATGGCCACAGAAAGTTGTCTTAACTTTAAAAATTAACGAGTAATATAATCAAGGTATGAAGTTGAATACATGTGTACATTTACTGGTTACCATTTTAATGATGTTATGTTAGAATATGGTTACACTGTAATGTTACAAGTTTTGTTCATGATGTTATTTTTTAAAACTTTAAATAAAATATGTTCATCATATTTGAACAACATTATTTTATTATAATCTGGTCATTGGTGAATCTTCCTAAATATTGATATAGCATAAAGTATATTAAGTATGATTATTCAAGAAATAATTCATCAGGAAATTAATTTTCTTTAAATGTTAAGTGTTAATTAGCAAATTATGAATATTTATCATAAATTATTTTTATGAGGAAATGCTTGTAATTATATTGGCTATTAATGAAAAGCTTTATAGCAGGCAACCTGAACTGTTCCACTGCAGGGATTGAATCCTGAATTTTAGTATTATAAGCCCTCAAGCTTACTGTTGAGTCACCAGGAATTAAGTAATTATGAGTATATTTTAAAATTTATGCTACATTCTGTGGGGACAATTTATTTCAGGGGGAGAGAGGTGAACAAGGTACTCCTGGATCTGATGGACCTCCTGGACCTCAAGGACTAATAGGTCCACCTGGATCTCCTGGAGAACATGGAGAACCTGGAATAGAGGTACAAAAATATCCTCTCATCTACTAATAAGAAGTTGAATCCATAAATTGTTTTAATGAAAGTAATATGAATTTTCCACTAAACTATTATATATATATATATATATATATATATATATGTATTGTTAATTGTTTAAAGCAAATTTTCTTGAGAAAAAAAAATTTATAGCAGCAGTTTGATATACTTTAGCCAACTCTTATGTCAATATGTTTTTGATGTAATATCATTCTTTAGAACTTTAAGAAAAGTTTATTCTGAAGAGTTTATTTTTGTACACATTTGTTTATTATACAATTTATTTAAAAAAATTGACTCTCTGTTTGACTGTGGAAGTGAGAATCTGTTTCTTAGTCCTTTTTAGTTTACTTATGTAAAAGTGATGATGTATTGTTTTATTTTTTTAGGGTCGACCAGGAAAAGAAGGACAACCAGGTATTGCTGGCCGACCAGGAGACAAAGGTCCCAGAGGAGAACCTGGTCCACCTGGTCTTAGTGGGCCACAGGGACAACAGGTAAGTTGTCAATCATGTCAGTACATTTTTGTGATAATTATTATTATCAAATAACTTTCAGGAATTGCTTTGAAATACTTTCTTTTTGGGTTCCTTAGTTGTAATTTTTCTGATATTTTATTAAATTGCGAAAAGTTGGAATAGTTTTCATATAAAGATAATTAAGTTAAATAAATTTAGTATAAATTTCGATTAACAATAGATTTTTTTTTCACACACAAGAAAAATCAACCAGAATTTGGAGCTAGAATTTAAATTTTAATTCTTTATGGAAATATTAGTATTTTAAAAAAAAGCCAAGTAGCACTAACAATATGTCAATTTTTACAGGGACCTCCTGGACCATCGGGACCACTTGGTCCAACAGGAAGTCGAGGAGAACGAGGTGAACCCGGTCCACGTGGTGTTACTGGCCCTCAAGGTGCTCGTGGACCTGCTGGGCCTTCAGGTAATCCAGGAATGAAAGGAGAGCGTGGCTTAGTTGGTGAAAAAGGCTCAAAAGGACACAGAGGACTCATTGGTTTACAAGGATTACCAGGACCACACGTGAGTTTATTTTTTTTACTTATTTATTTACTATTAAATAAATGTTTGACATTTAAGTAACATAATGACGAATACAGATATTTATTACTTGTCTGATTGACTACTTTTTTTACCATTTAGAATACTACAGACAGTTTTATCTGCATCAGTAAAAATACTTTACATAAATAACATGTCAAATGACAAACCAGAAGTCTTCTAAATATTCTAATCAGTACCGTAATGTTCTTGTTAATACTGAATGTGTACATTTGGGTTTTACTTTTCTCAGCTAAATCACATACAAATCTTTTAAGATTCTGAATAGGAATATAACAGTCATGAATATCTATATAAAATGTAAAATCTTTAAGTTTTTTAAATTTTGCAATTTAATCTTTTATTATTTTATTCAAAAAACTTGAAATATTTTAAGTTACAGCCTTCACTATTGATTCTTTTCTGTTATTAAAACTTCATATAGCATGACTAGGAAAAGAAAGAGTACTCCTATTATATTTTATTGTCATTATTGTTTTAATTTTGTTCTAGATGTAACAGTAAAAACATTTATTTGTAACTTGCATGTTTATAAAAGGTTCAAGCCAATAAACTAGGAAATTGTGATCTTATAATATCATCTTAACTGTTCCTTTTCTGCACATAATTCATAATTGAATTGGTAGAATATGTACCAAAAAAAGAGATTTTTAGATTACGTAATGTTAGGATACCATAAAATGTTTGTTGAAAGCTCAGGAATTCTAACCAAAAATTATCATCTTAATTTAAAAAAGTAAAATAAATTCAAAGTAAATGTTTGAAGTTCTTCTTGAGCTTTGAAAAACTGATTTCTTTTTTATTACAATTAGGGTCCTCCAGGAGACAAAGGAATGACAGGTCCACCAGGCCTTCCTGGTATGGAGGTAAGATTGTTTATCATTAATTTCAATAAAAATGTTCAATAGCTTTTTGATTATTTTTGTAGGTTTCCTATAACTATGTGCTTTACACGTATATAAAAACGTATGGTTTTAATATTTCAGTATCTTTCTTTGCTAGACTCACATAAAGTTGAATATGTCAGGAATAGTGGGTTATAATCAAAGTGCATTTACCTCAGAATATATTTAACTATGACCTGGTTCAGTGCAAATAAATGTAAGCATATTTGAATGTGCAGAAAAAAAATATTGACACATTTCTTGTTTTTCAAAACTAGGGACCTTCAGGTCCTAAGGGTCCTCAAGGTAGAGATGGTCAACCAGGGTCTCCAGGCCCAATGGGACCGCCTGGACCAAGAGGTCTATCAGGAGATGCTGGTCGAGAAGGTCCTTTAGGTCCACCTGGGCCCCCAGGTCCACCAGGCCCACCTGGTGATTCTTTTGGATATGATGCAAGTGCTCTTGCTGCTCTCCTTAGTCAAGGACAGGTTAAGGTAAATAATTTGTAGTTACTCTTTATGATCACCAATATTTGTTTTTTACTTCACAAATAAAACATGTTTGTATTTTCAACACTGGCATAATTTCAAACAAGTATGGTTCTTATTTAGAATTTAGGATTTTCACCTTCCATTTCATTGAAATTGAGTTAGAATACAGAGTAGTTACACATTGAAATTGGGTAAGAATGCAGAGTAGATACAAATGAAAATTCACTAGATTTGAATTTACAGAAAACGTAAATCAGTCTTTTTTTTTAATCTATTCATATTTTATATAGTTAAGATTGTGTTTATTTGTCTTGCATTGTCTAGTCAATTTTAGGTTTTTAAGGATTTTTCTTTTATATGAATGTTACTGTGTTGCTAGGGCCCAGATCCACTGTTAGGAGATGAACCAGAAAAACTCTTCTCACCAAACACACCTGTGGAAGAAAAGAAAAAATTGGTGTTTGAGTTTTATGACAAATTAGTTGAAGAGTATGAACAGTACCGAAAACCAAATGGTAACAAAAATACTCCAGCTAAGACTTGTAAAGATCTAGCTATTGCTAGAGCAGATCTTCCAAGTGGTGAGTGGTTTTGTAAGAATGGACTTTTTACAGTAGGTGTCTATGACTTGTTGGCGATAAATTCCAACTATAAACAAACAGCAACACAGTCTGGTTGATTTTAAAGAATATATATTAGATACAATTCAAACATATATACAAATGTTCCTTACACTGTTAGTTACCACAGTTGTATCCAGAGCTTTAAATAATTGTCTCTTTTTCATCAAAGCCCACATAGGCTGGTTCAATTACTTTAGAACACAGTTGATGAATTATTTTTTTCTACTCTGTTATTACAATACAGTCTGTGATAATTTCACTTTAAAAATGACTCGTAACACTTACCTAAACAAACATACCATAAAATATTGCCTCTAAAAAGAACCAAATATAACACCCACGCTACATAAACTATCTAAATCATAATGCTTACATTAAAGTTAAACTGAAACAGTTGTGTATATCTAAAATTTATGTTATTCATTAGCTTTTAAATTTAACAGACATTAATAAAATTTAATCTTACAGTTTTAAAATGCTGCTAGTACATACTGTAAAAAGTTAAGAAATTTATATTTGATGATTTTATTACTGTCTAGTATATAATAATTCAAAGGCCAACTGGTATCTTATATTCTATAAAATATACAAGTTTCTTTAATTTATGTAAAATTTGCATTTTTAAGTAAAATTAGCTTTTTTTTTATTACTTACCAAAAATTAAATGCCTTTATATGAGAGGTGTTTCTAAAGAAACTTGGTTTTCTTTTTTTACACTAACCAGATATATTTCAGCCAATAAATGTACACTATTGGTTTTGAGTATGTGAACAACTATATAAAACTTCTCAACTTAGCTCCCATTAAGTATGATGCACTTCTTTTACCATTACTTGTGGTTTAATAGACCAGTTCAGTAAAGTGAAGATGTGATATTACAAGTTCAATTGCATAAAACTGCTTTAAGAATGTCACTTGACTGAAAATGTTATCCACTCATAATGATCTTGTGAGAATGAAAAAGATTTAAGTCGTTGGGTGCTGGATCAAGATTGTCTTTCCAAACATCTTCATTACAGTTTTAATTCAATAAGCAGTATATTGTAGGAAAAAAATCTTCTAGGAGGGAATGGAGAGTATTATCTATTAACACGATCATTCAATGACCACAGTTTACTTGTATTTAGGACATAGGAAAGAAACCTGAGTTCAGTTCTCAAGCTTTATACAATTATTAAAATGCCCAATACCAATATTCAGTAGCATATTTTTACATGTTTTATCATGCTCATTACAACAAATCCTAAGATAACTGCCACAACATGTGTTGGTAAATTATTTTAACTTTAGTTAAATGGTTATTAGTACCTGAAAAAATTACATATATTGTGTTCTACATCATATCAGAGGCCTGTAACAACTAAAACCTCAAATAACTGTTACTAACTTGTCATTATACTGCTCAATACTGGAGGGATCCAAATATTGCATCATATTTAATTAGTGACACTGTAACCAACAGAAGTCACAGACCTATAAATAGTTTGATGCATAAATAACCTTGAAAAATGTTTTTTCAAAATCTGATAGTGTACATGTGGATCTCATCACTAATTTTAGGGCTAAAGTGTTACACCTGTTGAAATGATTACCAAACTATTTCATAAGTTCATTTTGCTATTATTTTCTTCTATCATTTTGAATTGTCCTGTAGCCTTTTCAATTTTAGGGGCACCATCATTGAAGCACTGTTAACATTCTCCTTCCACTTCTGTTGACTTTTTGCAGCTTTGAGGAGTATTGCACATGGATTCCCTATCTAATTGGCAATATTGTCTTACCATCTGTCCGTGATGACCTGTTTTCATTTTTATAACCACTAAAACTTGTTGAATAGTATTAATTATGCCTGTTTCTCTTGTAACATGGCATAACCATGCCATCTTATACTTCTTTACAGTGATCAATAAGTTCTCAAATTTTCCAAGACTGCTGATATTTCTGCCTGGATGGAATAATTAGCCCTGTGTGTGTGGTATAGAGAAGCTTTAGGATCCTGCAGTAGTGTCTAATCTTGTCAGTTTTGCATGATTTAACTTCTGTGTCTGATCTTCCATGATAGTGGCTCCAACATATTTGGAGAAGCCCACTCTTTTGAGCTCCGTACTACTAACACAAACTTCTTGACTTGGTGTGATGTCTTGTTTCCCTATAGACATCATCTTACTTTTTTCTTTTGTATTGATTTTCAATCCATGTGACATTGCAGTGTTTAATCTGCTATAAGATCTGTTTCTGATGCTGGCAACAAGTCAGTGTTATCTGCCAAAAGAAGGTTACAGTCTTTCTTCCTCCAATTGATGCAGTCACTTTGAAATTTTCAGGATATCTGTTATGAAATGCTCTAGGAATAGGTAGAGGAATCACAGAGTAGGAAGCAATCTTGTCTTACACATACTATTAGGCAAAACAACTCACTCTGAATTGTTGTAGAGGATCTGGATTACTGTTGTTACCCTTGTGCTCATATTATATTTTTTCATTGTTGCCCATACAGCTTCCTGCCAAGTATGGTCAAAGGCTTTATTTAAGTCTATAAAATTATGGTTTAGTTTTCTCTAGTATTCAATATACTTTTCATTTGTTAACTTTAGGTTAAAAAATCTGTTCTGTAGTTCTTCGTCCAACTTCAAGACCTGCTTTCTTCTTGTGTACTCTTTTTTTTTTTTACACTTTTCCTTAACCTGTGATATCTGGATTTTGCTGTTGCTCTAAAATGAATGAAATCACTTTATGATAGTATTTATTTTTTATGATTATAATGAGATTAGCTTTATTTAAATATTTAGAAAAATTTAAAAAACACAATGCTATCAGTAATTTAAATTTTTGTCAGATTTGAAAAACTGTAGTAGATAAATTATTCTCTGATCGAAGGATGCTGTTTCAGTGTATTGAAGATTTTTTATTGTCCCCAACAAAACATTTATCTCTTCATATAACAATGTTTTTCTCCTCCAAATATGATCTTCCTATATTTATAAACAAATGTCATGTTTGATCCCAGAAATACTGAAAGATAAATAATTTTTTCCATAACTTAAACTGAAGTTTTAAATGTTTATGAAAGTGTAGACTTAAATATGAACTTGTCTTCATTTGTTGGATGCTTTTTATTCATCTTTTCAGTAATTCAGGTGTTAGAAACCCTCAGAATTTTCCCTTTATTTGATAAAATTGGAGATGTAACCCATATCCCCATTCTTTTGTTGATGACAATCTCAGTGTCCATAAAAAATATGTATTTTCTTTTTTGTAGTTACATTGAATTGCCTGATATTTTATCCATTTCTTTTTTTTTCTATTTTGATTTTTTTGACATAGAATTAGCCATTTGTCTCAATTTTGATCCTTCTATAAACAAACAGGACTGTTCTCAGCTAACTTTCAACATAGAATCTTATTTTCTAGATTGGAAGAAAGAATTATTAGTAATTTTTTTTGTACCAATCATTTTCTTTACAAATTAACTGGCTTTATCCTTGTACTTTTATCATTTACAAAACTGTTGAAGTCCTGCCTTAATTAAGTTAAGCATGATACAAAATGGGCTAGCTGATTTTTAGTGTTATAAACCCATAAACTTACCACTGAGCCACCAGGGGTGCATAAGTTAAGAGTATAAAAATGTACATTAAAGTATAATTTATTATTATTATAAATTGAAACCATGTAATAATTTGTATGTTTCTGTTTTGAAATTGTTTCAGGAAACTACTGGATTGATCCAAATCAAGGGGACACTAAAGATTCCATTGAAGTGTATTGTGACATGGAGAAGAAAGCTACTTGTGTCTATCCTAAACCTGATAAGGTTCATCTATAACGTTGATTTTTTTATTAATATAAATTATATGCATTCTAGTCATAATATATAGTTATTAATACTCTCACTTGATTTGAAACAGATAAAGCACATATTAATGAGATCTTCATCTTTTATATGAATGTTATTTTTCATGTCTGTTTTATTTATTATTTATGTATTAAACTGAATTAAATGATAAATACATATTTTGCTCTTAACAACAATAGTCATTGTTATGTTTGGTATTATTTCTTTTGTTTTCAACTATTTTACTTATTTATGAACATTTCTTTTCTGATGTACATGAAGATGTACATAACTTATATAATTGTTTGAGAAACTTCATAATGAATATTGTAGGTTAACTTTTTGTATAATTAATGAAGTTTTATATAAACAGTTTTGTTATAGATACATCATAAGTACATTGGTGGTTTAAGTATATCTGTGTCTATTCCCAAACTTCTTTAAGAACTGAAGAAAAGATTATTTGGTTCAGTACTTTATGTTTTCCTGTTTGTAAAAAACTTCCAACAGTGTTCAGATATGCTATTTTATGGGTAAAGCTTCTTTGGGTCAAACAACTCTTAATTTATTTTAGCTTAAACCTCTGTTAAATATTTTAAATTTTTTTTGCTTTATCTGTTATGATCATTGTAAGTTGAGTGTCTCTTTCAGGATTTATTGATCTATTTTAGTTTTTGTCTTGCTTGAAATAAAGAACAGTATATGTGTAAAGTCTAAAAATGTACAATTTATTTGTATAAACGTTAAGTTTATTATTCTTTCTTAGTATCCTCAATCTTGAGCTTTGAATTATTTAACTGTTAACTTTTTTGTGTCAGGTGGTACAACATATTCTTGTATACTTGATTGACTGGATGTGGTAGTGATGTTGCTTTCAACTTGTTTGGGAATGAAGTCAGTTTATAAATTTATTTACACTATTCTTGTCTCCAAGTTAAAATTGTTTTGAGTGTAATGACATTATTTTGAAGTGAGAAGTCTTCTGTTTTTGCTTAAGTGCAAAACTTCACAATGGCTTATCTGTGTTGTGCACTCTGCAAGACTCAAGCCACAAATTTTAGCATTATATACCCCAATGCTTACTGCTGAGCCATTGGAGGGCAAAGAAGTTGTTATTTTAGTGTGACAAACACATTAATTGATGCTAAATTCATATGCTTCAATGAGTGTTAATAATTTGATAAGTTTTTTGCTATCGATAAATTTCACTTATTCAATAGTCATAGGCTTATGGAAAGTAATGTTCTTGTTCCCCTTTTATGTAATATAAACTTGACTGTGCATTAAACTGAAATTGTTGCACTGCCCATGATATAGGAAGGAATTTTATTTTCATATCTGCTAATGAGATGGTAAAAGCAGAGAATATTGTACATCTTACAAAAAAAAAAGAGTATAGAAAGATGTAGAAAATGGCTTCTATGTAGAACATTGCTAGCCACCAAAATCTTTGAAAAGGTAATTTGAAAGAAAATCCTTTATTGCAAAGAACATTTTCAAATAAGTGTTGCATGGCCTTTTAATTGTATATAAAATTTCTAGAGTTTTGAAAAATTAGATTAGGTTTATGTGCATCATTGTGCACAATCATATCACAAGACAAAAAAAAACTACCTTGACAACAGAATTAGCCTCCCCCTGGTGGATCAGTGATAAGTCTCATAGTTTAGAATGCTGAATTTCTGAGTTTGGTACCTGTTGTGGGCAGACCACTGATAGCCCATTGTGTAGTTTTGTGCTTAATAACAAACTAAAGAAACAACAGATTTGTTCTTGTTTAGTCATTTGATAGACTAGCTTAAAGGTCATTGACATAAAGAAAAGTATAAAATTAGAAAACAGATGTCAACAATATTATAAATAAAACATTATTTTTTAATTTTATATTCATGGTAAACAGATCTCAGACAGATCTGTAGAACACTAATATAATTTTTCATTTTCAGCCACATTACAGATTTCTAAGGCAGTAATAAATTATTACATTTAGAAGGAAAATATTCTTTTTTTTCTGAACAAAAATTATCTTTGTCTCCAAAGAGTTTGATACTGTGAGAATAATTTCTTAGATTTTTTTATGTCCCTCAAATATTTCATATATGTGAATATGACTGATATTATAGCATATGTTGATAGTTCTTTTTGATTTATTCCAGATTCCTAAAGACACTCATCATAGAGGAAGATCAGGCTATACTTGGTATAGTGAAATGGAGAATGGATTTTCTGTAAGTTTGTCTCAAGTATTTTGAAAGATGACTTTATTTAGTTATGGTAACACTGTGTAAAACAACCCAAGTTTGTTAACAGAAAGTGTTTGGTTTTCTGTGTAGGGTGTGTCATATTTAAAAAGATATATTTATGTATATATTAATAATTTTGTATATCATTGTCATCTAAACTCTCAATTCTTTAAATACTTTTCATATTTGGGAAATTTTCCATTGTGCATAAGAAACACATTATATTTAATGTATTCATTACTTAACTACTGTATGCTTAAAGTTTTTAATAAGCAATTTTTTGAAAGATGCTCTTATACCTGGTAAAAATTGATTCTTGGTAAAGGTTGAATAAATGTCTACTAAATGAGGTTGTGTCTGAGTGATAAGCTTTACAAAATTATGTAAAGTACCATGTATTTATGTATACTGAGTTTTAAAGTTTACAAATTGCAATCAGACAACAATTTATGAACAAGTTCTAATAAGGATGTAAGGGCTAGGTGTGTAATTGTGTGGGTGTTGTAATGATTTTATAAATTGAGGTCAGATGTGTATTGATCTGTGGGTTGTAAACTACAAAATTAAGCTCTCCTGTTAGTATTCCACTCTTTAAATGACATCATTGTAGATACTTTTATTTTGAAAAGTAATTTTAATCTTATCTTACTTACTCACTTTTTATTTGATTTTACTACCTTTATTGTTTTCAGTACACATTTTCTGCATTCATCTAAACTTGCCTGTTTGCTAGTGTATTTATTGACGTGTGCTTAGGTGTAAATGCTCTTTATCGATTTTCAGATTCCAAGTATTTTAACAAACTACAGTTAAATTATCAAGGATATGGGCTAACTTTAGGGAATTCTGTTTTAACTACATCAATAAATTAGAACTGTAGAATCATAAAAAAAAATTATTTATCTGCTAATAAATTCTAAGAAAGAGTTTAAGACATATAATTATATTTAATATTTAAGATACAATACTGTGTGGGTTCTTCACCTTACTAGACTTCCTTGCTAGTTAATGTGTTAAAAAATGTGAAGCAGCAGAAAATCATCACTAATCATATAAAGCCTTATCTTATGAGCTTTAACTAAATCAAATTAAAATTAAAGTGTTCAAGAAGCAAAACACCTTCCAGATTGTTTTTGCATCATGTGCACAAGTCATATATATTTGGGTCTTGTACATTGTGAGCTAAAACTAATCATGATAATATCTAGGATGCAATGTAAACTACTAACATTTCCATTAGTAACAATAATGAAACAATCAGACACAGTACATAAGTGCTGAAATAACTGTGTGGACTTTTCATAACTTGTAATGTTTATTTTACTGCCCTTCAGTTCTAATGAATAGTTTTCAAAACTCTCATTAACATTCACTTTTTTATTAGTTCGTAGTTAATGCAGTGTTTGTGATATCCAGTTTTAAAACTTCTAAGTGCAATTTTTTGGAATTTAATAAGTAGCACAAAATTTTAGTTTCTGAGTAATGTAGCTACGTGTTTTGAAAATCTGTTAACCCCCATATGTTGTTGTTTTGAAAAGATAAATAATTGACTGTAGAAAAATGAATTATTCATTTGAAAGCATATTTTTAAATATGATAAAGCATTATATTATTTGCTCTGTCGGTAATTTTATTTTAAGAACTAGATGTTTTTAAATGATTGAAATGTTACTCTCTGTTTTATACATATATATGTGTTTGGGAATAATATATGTTATCAATATACACAGCTAATGATATGAGTTGTGACACATTTTTACATAAGTTTTCTTGATAATTTTATTTTTTATAAGTTTCTTCCTAGAACTTAATAACTGTATCAATTTGTGTTATTAGTTCACCTATAAAGCTGACCGTATACAGCTTAGTTTCCTACAACTCTTCAGTGAGAAAGCTGTACAGAATATTACCTACCACTGCCGAAACTCTGTCGTTTATCATTTTGCTAAGAAAAATAACTTGAAACGAGCTGCCAAGTTAATGTCATACAATGACTTAGAACTTACTGCCATGGGTAACCCTATGTTTACATACAAGGCTCTAAAGGATGACTGCCAGGTAAAAATGTATTCCTTTATAATTTTGATACAGAAAGAATATATTACTTAAAAATAGTATTTCTTCTTGGTATAGCAATAGAACACTAGCTGTTGTCTACACTTGAAAAAAAACAAAAACTTACAGATTCTATACATGTTAATTTTTTCAACTTATTTATAAAAATATTTTTTCAGAAAATCCAACCATTGGTAAGCTGCAATTTCTTTCAGTTGAAAAATTTCCATGTAAATAGACCAAAAAAATCGTATGCAGTATTAGCAACAGTAGCTTTATATTTATCAACCTTGTTTTGTAAGTTTTTAGTTATATCAATAAGAAGTCTTGTTGAATGCATATGATTTTATAGAAGATACAATTAATTAAAGTTTACAGCAACGTGTAATTATTATACAATTAAAATGGTACTTCTAGTCATAAATTATTGTTATTAGTTTACTCCAGAACTAGTAACTAGTCCTCAGTTCTTTATCAAGCTATTACAAATAGTATTTTTTCATTTAAATAAAAACATCAAAACGTTGAGTCTGTTTTGAATAAAACTATTCAACATATAAGATAGTAATGCATATTCACATTACTGCCAACTAACTCATAGTCAGAATCACATAGGGGAGAAATATATGTATATTTCACTAATTGCAGTTTTAAACTTAAAAAAATAATAATAATTTGAATACGTCACTACACTTTGGGGGCTTAGATGATACTAAATTTGATAATTCAATACAAATGTTTTCATAATAGTTTTTTTTGCACTCATTAAGCTTTCGTATTTTATTAATGGGATAAAAAGAAGTTAAAACATCATTTCTTTATTGTTTAACATGGATGAATAGAACTTTGTAAAGTAAATATGTGAAGATGTTCTGCTTGAATGAAGTTGGGAAGTTTTGTTCTAGGACCCTTCTTTCACTTTAAATAAACTAAACATTGTGGTAATTTAATCTATTTTAATTTTGTTTAAATAAGATGTTTTTAATTAGTCCTGTTATTTGGAAATAAGAGAAAACATTCAACCAAACATTGTTCTTTATACTGTTAAATACAAACAAAGTTGACCTTCATTACCATTATGTAATTTCCTATTTGTTTTATTTTGATGAATTGTCATATTACTTTGATTTCATCTTACAAAAGTTAATGAAAGTATACTATACTTCCACATACTATTTCTCAAGAAGGTTGAAAAAATGAGTAAGGGTAATTCAAAAACAATTTTTTAAATCATTGTAGGTAGTCCTTTTTAAAGAACATAAAACATTATTAGAATTATATATTTTGATAACAATAGTAATTAGTATGTTAAGGATGTGACTTTGCTCGCTACTTAAACTAACAAGTAAAGGACATTAAAAATGTAGGAAGTATAACCAATGGTAAAATAGAGGATAATATATTGATTAATTTATTTGAGACAGCCAGTGTTTTAAGTAGAATTATAACATAAATATTGATTATGATATGCAATTCTAGAATGACTTATATTTGAGTGAATATCTGAGTTCAGAAGGAGAATTTGTATTATTAGAGCTATATTTATATTAAACTGTTTTAGCAGTATGGAATCAGAGTAAGTAACTGGTGCACCAAAATAATGTTCTGCCGTGTTAATTTTGTTTTGTTTTTTCATATAGATGATTTTAGTATACTTGTATATATAATTTCAATGAAATATTTTCTTCATTGCTTGTCATCCAACTGGCTCAAAGAAAAATCTATACATATAACATAAAAATAATACACCATCCTTATTTATAATCATGAAAATCAAAAAATAAGGTACCTGTCCATGTGTGACAGATTTAGCTTGAATGCTATGTGGTAGAAGGCAAGCTACAAAAACAAATTATAACAATAAAAATGTCCTCTGGTGGGACAGCAGTAAGTTTACAGACTTACAATGCTAAAACCTGGGGTTTGATTCCCCACAGTGGACACAGCAGATTGTCCAGTATGACTTTGCTCTTAAAGAAACAAACCGATGAAAATTCTTTAAATGTACTCTATAGGCAAGTTTTGATTATAATTATTACAACACACACATTGCATCATCAAAAAACCTACAGCCCCTTCTAGCTAACAAGTAAATTATATTAGAAATGTATAGCTTGCAATAACATATTACTCATTAAGAATTGATTAAAACAATCACAACCAATAATATTACATCTCAAGTTTTCTTTGTTACTGCAGCCAATGAGTCCCACCTCAACTTCTCCCCTCAGTTACAGTTAATCATTTCTGATGTTAGCATAATATTATAATTCATTAACCCAACTAATTTTCTTCTATATTATAATAATTGAAATGAGACTTCACTTAAAATTTCTGTACAAAATCAAATTTAATTGTCTATAAAAATAACTTTTAGGAACAAATGCATTATGAACCATTGGCTCTTTTGTTATAAATCTGATATTTAAGGGGATTTTTTGTGTTTTTTCAAAACTTGAAGTACTTTAGTTTTTTAGGCTAAAGTTTATGAACAAAAAGGTTTGTTTATTTGTTTGTTGTTAAGCACAAAACCACACAATGGGTTATCTGTCCTTGCTCACCATAGGTATTGAAATCTTGAATTTTAGAATTATAAGGTTTAAGACTTACCACTGAGTTACCAGGGGAACAAACAGAGCATGTATTCAAATGGTAAAAAGCTATCTTTCTTGCAAAATAGTCCTAAAAAGTTGATAGATTTTTATTTCGATTGTAATTTAAAAGTAAGAACAAATCATTAAAATACAAAATATATAAATTAGTTTATTGATGTAGCATAACATAGTCTAATGGTTTTTTTTTTCTCATTCCAAATTACAGTTCAGATCAAATAACTGGTCAGAGACAGTATTAGAGTATCGTACCAATAAACCACAGAGGTTACCCATTGTAGATATCGCTCTTCGTGATGTTGGGTCAAGAAACCAGCAATTTGGCCTTGACCTAGGACCTGTATGCTTCTTTTAAACATGTTGTTTAACTGTCTTTTTTTTTCTTTGAGAGAATCGTTCATAGCCATTAGTTGATAAATGCATGTTTATTAAAGATAATGTTATTTTACAATTTTATTTTAAGCTGTATCGATTTTGTGAATATCTGGTTGCTGATTATGCCAACCACAACAGACCACTGCCATCTGTGATTGTGTATGTGACTTTTATCCAGTAATAAATTGTTTGTAGCTTTTATGAAAATTTGTTTATGTGTGGTTTTACATCACAAAAGGTGTATTAAATGTTTCTTTTTGCAATGCATTTTTCCCTGACATTGAGTGTATATATATATATATCATTATCTCCTAGTAAATTAATTGAAGATATTATTTTAATTTTATTAACAAGGCAACAAGTTTTTGTTACAAATATATAACCACATTGTAACTTTTAAAGACATCATTCTATTTTTTGTCCACAAAAGGACAATTAAAATATATTTTCTCTGTGTTAACCCTAGGTGCACAGGTGGGGGTTAAAGTGCACATGCCATGACCTGTTACAGAGTACCATTCAATTTTGTATTATGTATCTATGTCATAGTTACGAACTATTCATTTTAACCCTACACTGCTGATTTAGTGACAGTTCATGGTAGATGATAGTAAATACTAGTTATAATCTCATAGTTATAATGAAAAAACTGTAGATGTGCATTTTGGAGGTTATGGAAATGCAATATGCAAAGTATATGACAGAGAGTAGTATTTTTATTCTACACATGAACATCATCTTGCAATCCAACTTATCAAAGTCTGCTTTATACTGATGTTGTCAATTCACAGACATATATTGAGTACACATACTTTTGTAGCATCTGATTTTTTATGTACAACAGACTTGTACATATTACTAAGAGCTTGCCACATTTCATGTAGATACACTTACTAAATTTAGAATTATAGTCAACATTTCTTCTTTAGTACAGGGTTGACACACAGTGATGAAAATTGCAACTAGAGTGAAGAAAAGGCTGTAGTTTCTCAAATATTTTGTGAACACTGTATTAAACTAAACATGAGAGAGACTTTTATGTGAGAATGATAAGATTTATTAAAATCAAATATTGAGAGATTAATATTGAAGAACTTAGAATAGTTGATTAACTTCCAAGATTAAAACACCCAAAGTCTGACCCAAATATTAAGGCCACTGTAGACCATAAAAAGTGTGCCTTAAATAAAATATTTCAATTTAAATGCTCTGATTGAAAATTTAACAATTAATCAAACTATGGTTTTGTTACCTAAAGTACCTTAAACATGATGGCTTTCTGAAATGAATTATTCTTTATTTAAATTATATCTACAAATGAAAACTTTTCTGTTCATTTACCTAATGATGTGAATGTTAGTTGAACTGGAATTAAGAAAAGAAAATCTGATGGAGATGAGAAAAAAAGCAGCATTTCTGGATTAAATTTCAGTCAATAGGTAGCTATTAAGTTCAACCAAAAGGAAGGACTTAAAATACTCATAAGACATGAAATAAAATATTTATTGTACATAAACAGAATATGCTGAGACTTACTCTATTCTGATCAGCTTCTATTTTCTTAAAAACTAACTGGCTTCTAGAATAGAGAAGAAGCAGATTTCTGCACTCAATGAAGACAAAATTGATATCTGTGTGTATATCGCACTGTTAAGCCAGACCAAAATTCTAGTGGTATCCCACAATTCTAGATTACTTAAATTTATGATCATTCTCATTGCATACATCTGTACCATTATTTCACTTGGACTTTTGTCAGTACAAGATACTATAAAACATTATAATTTTAATGAGAGTAATAATATTACAGTTACATCTCATGAAAAAAATGCTAATTTGTCTTGTTACCTTCTCCCTGTTGTACATGACATTAGTGCTATTTCCTTTTTTAAAGTCAAGTTCAGTTTCTAAATTTCAAGCAAACAAAATGTCTAAACAATGTGTCAAATATAAATTTTCCTTTGAGTAACTGCCAAGATGAATTCAGAATGCAGCTCACAATATTGGAATTCATACAAGATTTACAGTAATATATCCAAAACTAATAGTATGTAATCTTTGCTGATGCAAGGATTAAAGCATGTTACAACTATCTACATCCTGTTCACTAGAACATCAACCAACTGCAGAATGCCTAAAGTTTGTGAACAATACCTGAATAAATATATTATTTTGTAGTAATAGAAGAGTAAAACCTATCGTTTAACTGTTGATTAAAGTAAGTACAAACATTATATGAAGTTCATCTCCTGATTCTTCAGATAGCTGAATTTCACCCATAACTCTTTAATTATCTGAACATTAACCCTGACTCTTCAGTTAACTAAACTTTAACTTTTCAGTTAGTTGAAGTTTTCCTCTGACCCTTCAGTTAGATGAACTGGCTCTGATTTGTTGACTATAGTTTTTGAGCTAAATGTAATAACAGAGATATCTCTTTACTGCTAACAAAGTAACTTTTTGCACTTAAATCATCTATTAAACTATTCATCACTGACTAGAAATGTATGAAAAAATGCAAAAAACAGTTATATAACTGCCAGCTAAGACTACTATAAAAATATTGAGATGGCTATGAAAAAGATTCATTCATGACTGTTGGTTTAGTTAATTATAAAAAGACCAGTAATTAACTGCTGATTGAGGTTAATGTAAGAAAACATTATTACTTATCTTTTGATTCATTTGACTGCAAGAAGAATGATAAGTCATGTACAAGAAAGGCTGATTGTCCTGTTTTCAATTATGATAATGGCTATCCTGCTGATTGAGTGTGCATCTTCCTTTTGGTCATTCAACACCAGTAGTTTTTAGTTTATTTTAATTTTCCTTTGTTATATACAGTTTATTCTACCCTTTACTTTTACTCACAATACAATAGTCTCTTACAACTATCAAAACCAATCTTGCTTCAGTTTTTTTTATATGTATCGTTTATGTTCATTTGAACTTCACATTGAGTCTGGTCTCTTTCATTCCACTCGCAACAGATCACTACATCTATCCTTCCAAAAACTATATTTGCAAACGTTTCATTGTTGCAAAGATCTGGTATTTTATGTTTGGAATACCACATGGATGCAAGAAAAGTTGGTCATGTAACTGTTGGTATGGGACTGATAACTTGATTGTTGATTGAAACAGGTTTACGAGAAAAGTTGACCTCACGACTCTTGCCTAAAACCAATAACTGGATTGTTGAGAAAAGTAAATACATAAAAAGTTGCCCACTTGAGTAACGACTTAGCTCACTATTAGAAAACCAGAACTCAATTGTTGAAATAGGTGCAAAAAATGCTGATTGCTTAGTTCTTGATGTAGATGATTTCTTCCAAACTTTTGATTGATTATTGATCCAGTTGCAGAAAAGGATGATCATTTTACTTTTATTTCCAAAGTGTAAGGAGACTGAATACTTCTAAATGCTTATACAGAGGCAGAACTAGCATGGGGCAATACCAAGGGGCCCGTGATGCATGGAGGCCTGGTCTAGTCTTTTTATTCTGAAAAAAAGGTGCCCGATCATTTCATTGCACTGGGATCCCTGAACTGCTTGTTCTGCCACTGTGCTTATATAGTTAGGTGCAAGAAAGACTGATGACCCAGATAAGGTATTTTTTGTCATTAATTTTTAGTTTTTTCTGTAAATATTCTACAAACGATTTGATTAAGGTATTTT